TGTAAGTTTGGTCTTATATTTGGTGTTAATGCTTTCTATCACAATATCCGCAACCTTGCCTTCAACAAGCTCATAAAATGCGATAACATGCTTGAGTCATAGACTAACGTTCAGTACTTTAGTTCTTTGTTTTCTGTAGGAACGGAGAGCTTCATCCATTGCGAGATGTATTTCTTATATTGTCATCACTTACTGCAGTCCTTTTAACGAAACATAAAAGCAATTCTAGAGTGGATAACAGTTCCGATTCATTGTTAAATAATATTATCTTAGCACTTCTGGTGCCGCTGCTAAATCTGGAGGAATAGTTTGAAGAGACTCCGCCGGTGAGTAATGCTAACAAATATTGTGATATTGGCTCCTGTTTAATCATTTGTTCAATTTCAAAAATATATTTGTGGAACTCTGGAACATTTCCATGTAGTAGGAAAACGGTTCTAGTACGAGTTCGCCTCGCAGTGTTTTCTAAGTAGGTTTTTTTGAAAATTAAATCTCTGCTTCGATTTTATAGAGATCATAAACAATCTCTTCTCCTCTACCAATGTCAATATTACGTTAGCTGTATTCCAGAATTTTTGGATTCCATTCATAATCTATGAAATTATCGAAAATCTTCAAGTTGTACAGATTTAAATGTGATATGGGCTGTTTGCTCCTGGCTCAATTTCTGTCTGCTGTTCGATAAATTCCAATGAATGGCATGTTCCAGGTGGGATAATATCACGTAGGAATCTATTTTGGTAGTACCCTATCCATGGCTAAAAAAATGTACGGTGCACGTGATTCCGATCTGATTTTGATTCGTGATATTAATTAAGGGTAGGGTTAGCATTAGGGTTAGAATTATACGAGAAAGACATTTATAGCAAAATTTCACAAGGAATTATTTTTTTTAGAGCACAAAAGGATAGTTTCATAGGCAAAATTTTGAGATACAATCTACATGTATAACGATAGGCGTTTATTTGAAATTTTTGCGTTACACATTGATCTTGCGATTTGATTGGTTGATTAATTTTAAGGAGGGTCGTAATCACGCGCACCGTATATTTTTTTCGCCATGGCTAGGGTACTAACTAGCTTGCTGTCATCGTGTTCGAGAATCGATTTTGGATTGTGAATCGATTAATCAAATTTATTTTAAATGATTAATCAATTATTAATCGATTCCTTGGCCTCTATTAGTGTCAAAACACGACTTTTCATGCTATTGGACAATTTTACAGCAAATTCATTGGGTTGGCAATGAAAAATTGATTTATATTGCCAAAAAATGAATCGGTCATCGATTCAAACGAAAATAGATCATTAGATTCATCTAGTCGAAACGAATCGGATGGTAGTAATTTCGCAAGAATCGGATCACTGGGCGTCGAGATACATGTACGTACATGTACATATATACATGTATTACGTTGGTTCGTTTTTTGGTGTTGGACAGTGATCTTAAAATGACCGCAAGTGACCTACTAAATGACCTTATTTTAATATTAAAAGTTAGTGACCAGTGACAAAAAGTCACTTGTCAAATAGCAAAATGACCTGATTTTAGGACGTAATACATGTATATACATGTATCTCGATCCGATTCATGCGAAATTACTACCATCTGATTCGTTTCGATTAGATGAATCTAATGATACCGATACTATTTTTCATCCTAAAGTAACATTTTGTATTGCTTGTGAACGTGAAAGTTACAAATATATAGACATCGGGGATCAGGGTTTGGGTTAATCTTTCAAAACGGTCAGTTAACGTTAATTATGTAAATACGTTCTCATTGAAGGCTGTGCTTAAATAAGGAAGTGGCTGTGTGTGTATATGTATATTATATGTATATGTACATGTACATGTACGTATTATGTTTCGCAAAAAATCAATATCGAGATACGTAACTATCGCCAAAAAATAATTTACATGTATATAGAAAATGTAGAGTATTCTATAACGATAACGATAACTAACGCTAAGCAAACATTACAATAACGATAATAACGATTATTTATGTTTCCTTAAAACTCTTACGTTTGCTTGCTTGATGCTCATATTCATTGTTGTTCTTATTCATTGTTGTTCTTTTCAACTCTATCCACTCTCAAGACCCAGCCGATCTTTTGATGGTTTTTAACTTTTGGTATTTATCATTTATTATTTAGTATGTATGATAATTGTGAAGAGAGATAGAGAAAGTGAATGATATTTAACTTTAATTGATATACGTATGAACTAATGCAATATCGGACTGTTAAATTTACGAGTGTTTAGAAAATATCAATTTGAAGCCACGCGTTATTAAATATAAAAGCGCATATATTAATAAAATGTGCGTTTAAAGTAATTCTCCATCATTTTATCCAAGCTCTTTCTCTTTTTTTATCTACGATATATCCACTTGAACAAAAAATAACTCACAGTATTGACTAATCACGAAAAGAAGCGTGAAACGAAAATCAAAGCGCGACAGACAGTGAAGAATAATTCATGTTCATAAGATCAATGATGAAATCATCACTACTTGGATATCTATTATTTGCGATTTTGTCCGTTATACATGTATTTGAAATTGCAATCGCATTTCCATCACCAGTGAAGTTAGTGACACGAAGCAGCACTGTTGTAAGACGCGGGTTAAATGGTATTAAAACAGTCGGTAAAAATGTTCAGGTAAATAAATTCATATTCATTGAATGATCATTTGATTTCATTGATTAAAATTATTGAAAAAAAAATAGTGGCTTGCACAAGTCTCTTTTGGAACACCAGCACAACAATTTGAACTATTAATTGACACTGGATCCTCGAACATTCTCGTTACCACAACGGATTGTGATCCAGGATGTCGCACACAATCAACCAAGTTTTTTGATACTAAACAATCAACCACTTATGATCGTGTCAGTAAGGGTTCATATAGTATTTATTCTGTTCGCTGGTGGAACTTCGTAAGTAATTATTAATAATTATTGATGGAAATAAATCGTTTTTATATAAACGTAATTAGTCTTGTATATGATTTGGCTGTGGATGTTATTACATTGGGTGAACTTAGAATTAGACAACAAAATTCCGATCTTTCATTCGACGGTATTTTGGGTCTTGGTTTCGATAAAATTACACAACCTACAAATTTTGGTGTTGAGACTGTTCTTACTACAATGTTCAAACAAAAGTTGGCAAGTATTTATCATCCATATCAAGGTCAAGCATTGATTTTATCTTATATGTTAATAAAATTATTGAAAATAATAATAAATCACGGAAAAGTTATTCGCCGTAAAATTCATAAAACAAGAACTAGGTGGCGGAGGTGAATTAACCTTCGGCAGACACAATAAATCCATAATCCTTTGAGATGTTATCTGGGTAAATTACACCGATAAATACTTTTGGACAGCAATTTTAGATGATATATACGTCGATGATATAGACTTGGAAGTCGGCGGTCCATTTATTTTCGATACCGGTGCAACTTACATATTTGCACCTTGTTCAATAGTCGAGCGTATTTATTATTTCAATAAATCAGACATGATATCGATATTAAATTTAATTGATAAATGCAGATAAGTGTTTATATTGAAGTTAATTAAATAATGTAAACTCAGAATTTCTAGTCTAACGTGTTGTTATATTAATTTATCCGAACTCATTTACCCCGACATGAATGGAGATTTCCCTGACAAGAGATATTGTGATATAATGTATTAAC